GCAGTGTGATTTTAAGATTTTTGGCGGATTTATTTTTATTTCAAATCAAATTTTTCTACTTTCGTCTCATGCGAATGCACCAAGCACCACGATTGCTTTCATTTTCAAGCGCATTAGCATACATCTTTTCAATCGCAGAATGTGCCTTTAAGTCCACCATTTGTCACCTCGTACAGCTCTGACCACGTAGAGCTGCGGTCTCAAAAATTAGTGATCGTCGAAACTCAATTCGTCCCTTTCTCATCTTGTTTCTTATGATTTCCATGACGTTGATTCATTTTTGCGTCGCATTTTCTTGAAAAAAGATTTATATTTTCAAGCAGTTTTTGTAAAAATCAGAAAACCGTGAAAATTGCTCTTGAGCGATTTTTCACGATTTTCAACAGCAGCACGCTCAAAATTGGAATGCCATAATTCTCTGGGAATTTATTTCTTCTCCCCTTGATCAATCTCCTTCCAATTTTGAAATTTTATCGTTTTTTTCCTCTGCGATCTTCACCTTTTTATGGGTACAACCCAGAACCCGAGTTATGTGCTGGCATGCCCCTTTGTGAAATATGAAACATCGTTTCACACCATTCTGCCAATTTGGCTCCACATCACGACTTATAAATCTTCTGTGAAACGCAAATCTTTTCACTATTGATTTTTTTGTTCAGTTTTTCATAAGTTACAAAAACGCTAAGTCTGTCTGTCTGTCTGTGTGTGTCTGTCTGTCCGTCTGTCACGAAATTCGGTACTAAGCGAACAACAACAACCTACAGGGTCCAGGTCAAGTTTGGGATGGGTGTACCATATCTCGAGAAGTAAAAAACATACATCAGCTAAGCGGAGCCCCGCCCACAGTGGGCGTGGCGTGCGTCGAAATGAGCGGTACTGACGACCATGATTTCAAATTCAGTCACAAAACAGCCTCGGAATGGGAAAGGGTAGAGGTGTGCATTGGTGGACCAACCTTTGGCGAGCGGGGCGTTCTCTAAAAAAGCGGTGCTTCAATGAAAAAATTCATAACTCGGTTAGGAGAAAGCCTACAGAGCAGAAAAAAATTGGTGTAGGGAGCAATGTCTAAGGTGTTCCCACATGACGTGGCGGAGGCCCGCCCACAATGGGCGGAGCGTGTCCTGAAGTGTACAGCATTTTCTACAAGTCCTCATAATTCGGCTCCCAGAAGTCTTAGAGAGCCGGAAAAAGGTGGATAGAGGTCAGAGGAGGAGGTGAGGTCAACTATGTAACAGCAGTGGTCGTGGAGCGCACAAAAGTGGGCGGAGATTCCTACCAAACTTATCACTCGGTCCCAAGAAGGGGGTCGAAGTCGGCGAAGGAAATTAGGCCAACTGCTATTGGTGGGTGGAGCGCGCACCAATATGGGCGTGGTTTGCCGCCAGTTTATAATTCGATTCCAAGAAGTCACACGGACCGAGAAAAAGTGGGCAGCGCCTGGCAGCGGAAGGTGGGTCAATGGCTATTTGTGGTTGTTACCGAGGTGGGCGGAGTTTGCCACGGAGCTCTATAAAATAGTCTCATTTGCTTCATTATTAGATGCATTCCTTTTCTTTTTGTGACCTTTACCCGAAATTTCTTCGTTTGTTCATGAAAGTTGCCCAATGGAAAATCAATAGCTCGTCTGTACGCATCGCTTCGACATATCCATCATTTTTTAGGTAATGATATTTGACATCAATCGATTTCACTTTTTCGTACTCTTGACGTGGCAGTTCGCAATCTTTTTTGCCTCACAGCAGATATTTCCGATTTTCTCCAATTATGTACCGGAATGGCAATGCGGTGAGTTGTATAAGTGTACGGAATTTTTGTGAACATCTCGTGGAGCGCTACGGGACCATCCGCTCCCAAGCCAAAAGAAATTCTTAAAACAGGGCGTTACGGTGAATCTGCCGCGATGTCACGGGGTGTCACGGGGTGCCTCCCCTGAGTCACATTGCGCCGTTTCTAAAAAACCCACAGTGGGCTGAAGCAGAGAGTTAGTTACACGAAAAAGGAATTTTTTCACAAGAATGCTGGGTTGTGAACAAAACTTTCGCCCCAGGCGGGACTAGAACCCGCACCTCTCGCTTTCCGGGCAAGTGCGCTACCAGTTACGCTACCGGGGACACCATTTCATCCCAACTCAGCTTTTGAAGGTATATTAATATGTAATGTCAGTTTTAACGGTATCGCAATATAAGGGGCATTGCGATGGCAATACATTTAGAATCTGCAGGACACGTTTTTTGTTTGAAACGGGGCTAAATTTCAGGCGAGCGAAGAGAGACTCCGAGGTACGTGATCCATTGTCATTTTTCCCGGAGCTCCTGCTTCCGCTCTGACTTAGTCCTCGAGGATTCCCCTAGTGTATTCCGGAGTGCCTCAATTTCTTTTATCACAGGCCATGGGGTTAACCAGTCCCGAGTTGTGAATTTTCAAATAGAAGCAGTAGAGAAAAGTCCTCAATTTTAGCAAGTTTTTTCCTCATTTCCTCAAGTGCGGTTGGTATACACAACTTTAGAAGAGCAGGCTCACCTTCCGACCTTTCTGTCTTCTTCAGAGGTCTCTGAGACCTTCCAGGCGTTGACAAAGTTGAGCGCAGGATCATCAGCTAGAGTTTCTCTCTAGTAAGCTCATGTAGCGCAAAAGCAAATAGCTCGCCAGCTCTGGGTCTCAATAAGGGACAGCTTCGGTGTTGTTGCCTGAAAATCCAATTTCAGATGATGGACCAGTTTCGAAGAACTGCACCATCTACACGACGTGTAACGGAACGTTGAGATATCCAAACTCACAGTTCCATTCAGCTGCATTGGAGTAAGTCTTTTCTGAAATCACTCGATTGGAAATTTTGGTGCTGAGTTTGGGGGGGGGGGGAAGGGAGGCAGCGTTTTTCAACGCGATTGACAAGCCTGAGAATATGATTTGTGGTTGAGTTTTGGCATATTTGAGCCTAGGCTCAGGATTGGTCCCATTGTGTTTGACAGAGCGGCGCCGCCGCATGTTCCCCCCCCCCAACTACTTAGCATAGAAATTTTGGATGGTCTTTGAGTTTATGTTGAGGTTAAATTTTGGGTCTGCAGTGGAGATGTAGCATCATACTATACGGCATATAATTTTCGACGGTGCCAAAAATCTCACTCGTTGTTGGATTTCTCTGAGCTCTTCTCCGCCTGGCTGCTAATTCTGCAGAATAGCAGTAACGTAGGAGATGGTGGCCTTGAAAAAATCAATGCCAAATGATTTTTGATGTTACTAATCATTTTTGCCGCATTTTGAGGGCGGAAGTGGTGTAGTGGCAAGTGGCACGCTTACCACGCGAGCGGTCCGGGGATCAAATCCTGGGTCGTGAGTCGCCCGGGCCAACCAAGCCTTCCATCCCTCCGGGGTCGGTTAATTGGTACCAGACTTGTCTGGGAGGATAAAAACACTGACTTGTACATCGGCTGGCCCCCGCAAGTCATTGTCGCATTCAAACGCCACTACGAATGTACAAATGGAAGTAGAATGCCGCATCCCAAAAAGGGATTGATCAACGGCAAATGCTTTATCTTTTTATTAATCATTTTGTGTCGTATTATATGGTGTTGAGTCTGCATTGCAGTCGTACTTGCCTCGTGCGCGAACTGTCACGGCCGCGACGTCACGCGTGAAGTGCCGCGAAGCGCCGACGAACGATAGTCATTGAGCGCAGTGTGCACGGTGTCATTACCGTATGCCAGACCTACAGACTTTAGGGATCAGCTGAACCCATTGAGTTTACATCGAAAAGGTTCTTGATGGCTATTTACTGAAGCCAAAATGGCCTATCGCAGTGTACAGGGGCACGTGATGGCATTCCATTCGAAACCGCGTGAAACACGTTGTTCTTGCTGAAGACGGGACTGACGATGAGCCTTAGGCCGGGGAGGAAAGACCCCAAGACGTAGTCATTTCCACTTTCCCTGGAGCTCCTGTCTCCTCCTAGGCTCAGTTCTGAGGGATGCCTCCATATATTGCGATAAAGCCCCTAGATCTTTCTATGGAATGCCGGTAGTCTTGGCCGATAAAAAGAATCGAATATTAGGGCAACTCAAATGTTACTCCTTGCATATTTTTTAATTGTCCCATGTCTTTAGATATGGCTGGATATGTGGCAGCACGGCCTATTTGGCCTCGTTATTCTCTCAAGGTCCAATTCGCTGGTGTTCTTTGTGGTCAGTTACCGCTAAAATATATCTGCTTGAGGAAAACCACCCTCTACTATTGATCTTTTTAGGTACGTTCTCCTTCGGCGCTCTTTCGGACGTCTTTGGTCGAAAGCCGGTCGCATTTTCGCAATGACCATGGGTATAGTAACGAACTTCGTCACAGGTACTGGTCATTTCGAAGGTTCCTCCTTCTTTTGTCGTGCTCTAATTTCATTTTCTGATTCAAAATCGGGCACTGCGTTTATACTCGGCGAACAGTGTGAATGACAGCCGCGGAGAGTATTTCGGCAATAACGCTCGAATGATCACCCTTTTTCAGGTCTTGCTCCAACATGGCAAATTCTCATGGCGATCCGATTCTTTGTGGGACTTTCTGTTGGCGGCACGTTGGTCGTTGTTTGTACGTTCGTAATGGAAATGCTCCTGCACATCAGCGGATGGCTCTCAGAGCATTCTTCAATTGGGTAAGTTCGAGTGTAATAAATAGTTAGCTAGAGAAGTGGTTTTTCATGAAATTTACCTGGAATTAGCGGAGAGCGCGGCAAAAGTGGTCTCCTTTTGGAGTGCGCCATGCTTCCGACCTCCTTTCCAGATCGTTGAAACATTTGAATGCGACTTTTCACCTAACAACAATTTGCGCCAAGTCGTGATAATGGTAACAATTAATCACTTCTAGATACAGGGCCAACCAATTCTTGTACCCATTTGGAGAAGTTGCACAACCCTGCCCTCTTCAAAAAGGGAGCTTCGAAGCGATCCACATCGCTTTGTTAGGGGCCGCTTATCCCCCCGAACTGCTCCAATGCCCACCATCATGGCTATTTTGATGGTATTCTGTTCTGATCGTGAGACCAAATGACGCAACTCAACTCTGCCTGTCTGTTCTAGAAAATAGTTATCGAACAGAAGGGGAGAAGGGGAGGGAAGGGGGGGGTGAATATGTCCAAAAAAGCAGCAAATCCTCTGATTTCCCCAATTTTACGCTTCCTTCTTCAAGTTTCTGCCAATTTCTGAGAAACCAACCAAGAACGACCTCCTTCTCCGCAACCAGGTCCCTTCGTCATCTTCAAATACGGCCTACGTTCGCACTTTCACAAAATATGAGTGGCAATGCTCAAGCCCACATAGGAGCCCCTCCCAGAACAGCAAATACAATCCCCTGTCCAAAAGTACGAACCGACGGTTGCTCCTACCTCAGCCGGAGGGCTCCGAAACGTTCCCATACCATCACCATCGGCCTCGGGAGGGGATCGCTCTTATGCTCCTCCCCACTCCCTCCCAACATCATACTCATCACGAAACATGGTGAATAATATGACTAGAGTACCGTAATGCTCCAATTTTCTGTGTTTCTAGTTTTTCCTTGTAGATTTCGTAAAAATGCCAGGATCCGTCAAAACAACTCATGCTCCCTCCACCGTGGGACGGCCCAATCTTCATCACGCCTCTCCAGTAACCTCGAATAGACTCTCTTCCAAAAATCCCGGCGGCCACCTCCCTTTGTTGAACTCGGTTCAATTGATGGTTGGCCCTCATTAGCGGTGGAATGCTTCATGTTTATAGGAGCTCTTAAGCCTGGACCAGCGCATGGAGTCTTGCCACCCGCCTCATCACCATTTTTTTGTCCTCGTGTTTTTTGTTACTCTTGCAATTTAAAAGTAAAATAATTGTTTTGAATATAGGGTGTTGCCCGACTGATTATGACGCTGATATGTATGGCGTTCCCCGAATGGAGAGTCTCCAGTATCGCATGCGCTCTCACCGCCCTTACCAGCACTTCTGATACTGATCTTCATCTTTCCTGAAAGCCCTACCTGGCTCAATAACAAGGTAAGGAATTTGCTCTTTTTTCTGAGCTTAAAATCAGTTTGTATTGTGTTGTTGTTGAAGGGACGTCTAGAAGAGATGCGTACAGCTGAACGCTATATTGCCAGATTCGCTCGTGTCGAGTATAAACCGGTGGTTCACAAGAAGATCGAACATAACAAGGTCTGTCATTTTTATATGAAGATCCGT